TTTTTATTTGCTGCAGTATATTTTTTATTTGCTGCAGTATATTTTTTGTTTGCGTTGAGCCTTCTGGGCCACCGTACATTACCCTAGTAGACCTTACGGTGTATTACTAGTAATAGTAATCAAGGTTTAATGTCTTTTCGTGGGGCATGGTTACCCATATTGTCCGAGCCAGAGGCTCATGTATGAAACGCAAGACAACAACCCACATCCTACCCCTAACCCTGCAGGAGACGGGACCTCCATTTATTCGTCCCTATCCGAGAAGACTAGAATATCTAAACCATTTGTTGATGTTATAGAAAGGCAGCATATTCTTCTCATTTATTTTAAGACCTTGGGTGTTGGTCCGGCCGGGGCTCGAACCCCCGACCTCCCGCGCATCAGTCCAGCGCTCTATCCATTGAGCTAACCGGGAGGCGTTATGGGTTATGGTGGCAGCGGAATTAAGGCTGAGTGCTCCACCTCGATGTTAAGAATGCTGTAGAACCTTGAAGGGTGTCTTTTCCGAAGGGATGGGTGTCAATTAACCATGGCCTTATTAGTACAGAGTGTTTATGTCAGTGGAAAGGCTGTCACGTCAGTCTGAGGAGGCCCAGGTCAGCATGAGGTGTGCTAGAGCTACATTACGCGTTTGGATCAAACTGACCAAACTTAGTTTCCAGCAGTACCCCTTTAAAATTGAGTTTCTGTCTCGCACAGAGAGGAATTCTAACATGAATTTACAAAGTGAATTACCTCTTGTTGTGCAAGAAGGACAACAAACATTTCTCTTTTCTTTATTCATATTTTAATCGTACCCGAATTATAGAAAACAGCAACTACAGTGATCCACAATAGTCATCATGTCAAAGTCCTTATCATTTTCTCGTTTTGTCTAAGATATTTTACTTTTTTCTTGAGCTACTGCTGTGGAGCGGGGATTTCTTCCACCACAATGCGGGACACTGAGTTCCAGCTTGAATAAGCGTCTGCATTTCCGAAACGTGGACAGTCTCCAACGTTGAAGCCCACGCGCACAGAGCCTTTTGGGATGTTCTCACAGTAGCCTTCAATGTGACGAACTCGTAAGGGTTGTTCACCAGTTACCTCATGCATGTAAATGACCCCGTCAATAGGCATTGGCCCACTGCACTCAGCGCCATTGAAAGTAAAATACCAACGCTTGCAACATTTTTTGCAGCCAAGGATTCGAAGAGCTCCAGAGTAGAAAACGCGCAGTGTTGTCTTTTGGTACATTTTTTTAAAAAGGCAATCCTAGCGAAAAATGGTGAAAGTTGCACCTTTGAAAATTAAGAAAATAAGGGACAGATATTTTTATTAATTTTACTAGTTAATTGATAATTTTTCCCCACCTTGATCAATCCATAGTCACGTCCATTAGGACCTTTCCAAACGCACTGTTTCCAGTTAGAAAAGGTCTGGGCACAACCTCCCTTCTGACCTCTTGCTCCAGTCTCTCCTTTTTCTCCTTTTGGCCCGTCACGACCGTAAGGGCCTGGTAACCCAGGATTACCGGGAATGCCTGGAGCGCCAATTAAGTTTTGACAACTCTACGAATATCAAAAAGGAGCGGGTAGATGGAAATTGAACAAATTAACATGAAAACTTTGAATTTTATTGGGTTGTTCACCTTTTGAGTGGAGTTAGCCTCGGCAATCAATCTGACTGATGAGAATAACAATATGATCAGCTGAAGAGCGTCCATCTCCAATTTTTCTGTCTAGAATAAAACAGACAGGGGCAATCAGGGATCTTGGTGGAGTTCTCGGATCTGTCCATACATGTTAGAGCGCCTGGGGACCTCTCGGACGCAGAGCGTGACAGTATTTGTGACTTCCTCGAGGATCGCATTCTGGCCGAAGAAAGAACTCAACTGCACCAGCTCCAGTTCGTCTATGACTCACTTAAAAGCGTTTCGTTCTCGGAGTTTTGGCAATGCGCTGACGCTGTAGACGAGGAAGCTGATAACCAACTCAAACGAATTGTCAAAAGCTATTTTAAGGATTGCAACAACAAAACAAAGGAGGAACTTGCAACTTTGGCAGAAGCCAGAAAAGCCTCTAGGGTTGTCCCCTCCAGTATCAAGCGTAATGATCACGTGAATTGGGACGGTATTGCACGGGATATCAGAGCCTTACTTGGGGTCCATCACGATCACTCGTTTACAGGTCGTGCTGTTGCGCGAATATTTCACGGTATTGATAGTCCGTGTTATCCAGCGGAGGTGTGGGGTCGTGATCGCCGTTTTTGGAGAAAACATTTGGACGTTGAGTTTAACAGTCTGCGAAAGTTTGCCACTCAAGAACTTGTTAGGTTCAGATGAGATAGGAATCTTGATTAACGAAATATTGCTGCACAGGAATATGAAATACTTCCCAATCAATGCTACATTTATTTTTTTTTAACAAGGATTCAATTTTTCATGTATTGATGTTAAGAAAGCGTTGGAAAACGTACCTTCGTTTTTAGCAGTCGAAGCCATTACTACGCAAACAAAAAATATACTCCAGCAAATAAAAAATATACAGCAGCAAATGAAAATATACTGCAGCA